GTGAGCCTATTGACCAGACCTAGTCACATTCTCTACCCACCCTTCCTCCAGCTAGAGGTATGCAGTTAGCCCTACACGAACCACATGTACTGAAGTGGGAAGAGAATGGCTTCCCAAGGAAAATCAGGATGCAATTACCAGAGAAAATTAAATGTTCTGCCTGCAAGCATAGGAAGTGGCCTGCAAATGTTATCATCATCCCTCTCTACAGTTAAAAAAAAACTGAGTCCCAGGAAAGTTACCTGAGTTTTTGTGGTAGTTAAGTTTGTGTGTCAACTTGGCTGGGTCTGGTTGAGTGGCTGGGCAGCTGAATGTATTTGTTCCCCAGAATGAGACTAGCAATCAGCTCCATAGTGGGACCTATCACAAGCAGCTGAATAGCTGCTTTGGGTATGTGGTCTGCTTCCCGTATATAAGAAACAACTTTGGGAATGGTCTCTAGCTTCTGGCACGCTTGAACCCTGCATGTAGCCATGTTGTTGTTCAGCAGCCTGCCATGCTCTGCCGACCTTGGGACTTCCAGTCGAGTTGAATTAATGGCTGGCTCTGTGGGTTGGTAACATCGGGACTGTGACATTTTGTTTGTCGACCTTGGGCTTCTTAACCTCAGCAGCCAGCAACTGCCTGAGTGAAGAGATGCCTGTAGCTTCAGTGGGCCAGGAGCAAGAGGCAGAGCTGAAGCCCAAGGTCAAGGGACTTTCAAACAGCCCCTAGAGCCTGGCACTTTGAACTCAGACTTCTAGCCCCCTAAACTGTAAGAGAATAAATTCCTGTTTGTTCAGGCCATCCCATTTTGTGGTATATACTCTTGTCAGAGCAGCACTAGGTAACCAGAACAGTTGCTCAGAGTCATACAGCTAGAAGGAGAATCATACCCAGGTCTACATGACTAAAACTTGTTCTCACTCTACTCCACTCCACCAAATGGCCTTCATGTCAATGTCTGTCAGAAATCTGGGATTTAAACTCAGTGATCCCTCATTCACAACCACATCATATTAAGTATGATGTTTAATCCCCAGAAATTTTATGCCTCACATCATAAAAATCTTCTCTGTTCTCAAATATTGATTGTGTTAGTCAGTGCTCTACCATGAAACCTTTCCCAGCCACCCAAACTACACTGAATCTCCAATCTTTTACAGTATCTTATACCCTTCTTTGGGAGCCCTGGTAGCATAGTGGCTAAGGCACTTGACTGCTAACCAGAAGGCTGGTGGTTCAAACCCACCAGCCACTCCTCGGAAGGAAGGTTGGGCAATCCTACTTCTATAGTGATACTGCCTGGGAAACCCAAGGAGGGGTCGCTATGAGTCGGGGCTGACTCGACGGCACATAACAACAACAACAAGAATAACCTAGGAAGATGTGAAAAATGTAAACTCTTGGGACCCACCCTAACTTGAGATTCTGATTCAGTTGTTCTGACTCACAGAATTTGCATATTTATAAAACCAGTCTCCACCCAGTCTAATAATGGTGACAGTTCACTCTTTGAAAAACTTATTTCAAACCTTGTCCTAGTTTAAGAAATTGACTGGAAGTGAGTTAAGGGATTCCCTATTGAACCTCAGTCCTGGACTTAGAAAGAGGGCAATGGTGGTTCAGTGATAGAATTTTCACCTTCCATGCAGGAGACTCGGGTTTGATTCCTGGCTAATGCACTTCATGTGCAGCCACTGCCCATCTGTTGGTACAGATTTGTGTGTTGCTATGACAATGGCAAGGTTGACAAAGAAGAAAGGCCTGGTGATCTACCTCCAGAAACGAGCCAGTGAAAACCCTTATGGATCACAACAGTCTGATCCACAGCTGGTTGTGGAGATGGTACAGGACCAGGCAGCATTTTATTCCATTGTACAGTGGGTCACCATGAGGCAGGGACAACTTGGAGGCAGCTAAGAACAACCAGAATTAGAAAAGGCAGTCATGTATTTGAGGTCCATCCACCATTACGACAAAATCTGGAAGACCGTGCCCCCGGAAGTCCCAACAGCCCATTCACGCAATTCCTTGGGAAGAGGTACATACAAGCTGAAAATCCCAATGATGTGAAAAGTGTAGTCTCTTAAACCATTCTCTCAAAGTGTACTCTCAGTTGTCATCTGGAAATTTGACATCAGTAGATCCCCAAGTTTTATGTTGTTCTATTCCAGCCCCTAACAGGAACGGCCAACTTTCTCACTTCTCACTAGGCTTGCACTTAACTTATATCTATGCCTTTATTATAACAGTTATCACTGACTCATTAACTTTTTTATAGAAATACGTTTAAGTAGAATTCTACTGTGGCACAGAAACCTGTATTTCCTTGGAAACAGTTTCATCTAGTGTGGTCTTGTGGAAGTTTTACAAAACAACAAAAATACCCAGAACTTTCCTGTTCTCCCCTGCACCCTTTAAGCACTCTGGAAAAACTGAGGTTCCCTAAACAATTTTCAATGACTGTAATTATTTCACAAGAAATAATTTCTTCACCCCTCCTATATTTCCTAAAGTATGTTGCTAGAGACTAAATTAAAATGCTCCCAATAAATAAAATCATTAAGCTTCAATTGTATAGCCAGAAGAGGGCAGCAGCACACAGCACTCCAAGAAGCAAGCAACTAAAATAGAAAAGGAAAACAATCAAAAAGCCCAAATCATGCAGTAATAGTACATGCATGAATCTTGAAGTAGGACCCTCCTATTGTGATACTCCTGATCTCAAATGACTATTGGCAACTCTCTATTAGTTTGGGTAATCACATTAACAAATATCATATCTGGTATTGCCAAAGAGAGATAGAAATCATCCCATCAACCAGTCAACCAACCATTACAGCAACTCCTGTGATAAGTAATCCACCATCCATAGAACCAGTAAGGGGTTAGAAAGGACTGTCACAGTGCTTGGAGTAACATATGTAAATTGTAGTGGGGGAAAAGCATCTTTATTGGACCATACATTTTATAATCTCCTTTTTAGAACCAATTAGATTCAGTCAGTGAATGCCCACTATGGAATGGTACAATGGTTAAGTGCTTGACTGCTAAACAAAAGGTCAGTATTTCAAAGCCACCATCTGCTTCATTGGAGAAAGATAGGGCAGTATGCTTCTGTAAAGATTTATAGCCTCAGAAACCCTCGGAATCAACTCAAAGGCAACGAGTTCCCTATGGTATATTTTGCTTACAAATGTGAGAATACATCCAAGAAGTATGATCCCTAGCCTTGCTTTCAATGGCTTTGTAATCTAGCAGGCAAATATACATGAAAAAGAAAGAAAGAAAGTCTCAGCTACTCTATATTAGGATGTCAGTGTCAAATGCAAGGAAATTACTCACATAAATGCATACATTGAGTGATTGCTATCTGTATGTTATACATTGTGTATAAAGCCCTTTACTTGCTCAATTAATCCTCCAACAAAAATGTCATGTGGGTATTTTTATCATCCCCATTGTACAGTTGAGGACTCTGAGGTTTAGGGAGATCACAGCTTATCAGAGCTGGGAATAGGACTCCAGGCCCACCTGAAGCTTACTCTCTTGACCCTTCTTTTTAGGAGAAGAGGCTGTTTTTGGTTGTTATACTTACTATAAAGAATTAAAGCCTTCCTCATACACACCCACTTGTGAAAATGTTCTTAGCGATCTGGCTTTATATTTTCCTTGAAGCCAAGGCCTTGCAATATAGGGAACAGGTTCTGCACACCAAATGCATTAAAAAGAAATCCAAGTTGGGAAGTAACATTTTCATCAGAAACCAATAGAGGGCAGCAGCAGATAAAGCAACCATGTATCACCCCTCATCAGGCCTGGGGCTTTTGCTATAAGAGGTCTGTGCAGGGTTAGTGAGCCGAATTCTTGTCTCCATTAAAAAGAAAATATCACCATGGAGAAGGAGACTAAACATGTGAGGTCAAACATCAGTTGGAAAATGTCTCTTATAATAAAGAGAAATAAGGCATGAGAAAGGTGGCACCCCTTTGCCAAGACATCTGACATCCGTGGATGGTAAAGATGCCCACAAGCTTTGAGCCTAGAGCTGAAGGGTGCTTGCTGTCCTGTGGGCCTCGTGCAGACGGGCCAGATATGGAGTTCCTAAGCATACACACCGGGTCGGGTTGTGCCATGGAGTGACCTAAGGACTGGCCTGCAGCTGTGAGTGCTGCCCAGCCTGGACAGTGGGCCACATGTCAGGCAGATGGTACCTCAGTAGAGTGAGGGCTGCCACTTAGGAGACCAGGGACAACGGCCATGCCATCGGGGGCTGAAAATTGCTCTACTGTGACTGGCACCTAGCAATCGCATGCTCATTGTTTGTGACAGGGTGTCACTCCTGCACTTGTCTAAGATGAAGGAAAGACATCAAAACAACCAAAAGCACTCCTTTAGCAGGAGGAGGGGGTGGGAAAGAAGATCTGAAAAATGTGTAGATCAGTGCCATTGGCCTGCAAAAAAGGGGAAGGGGGCTATTTAAAAAAAAAGAAAAACTTAGGACAGAAATGTGTATCTTTTCCCCACTCATTATGACCAGAAGGTCTGCTGTATCTCTGCAAGTTAAAGGTCTCAGCCAGGGTCATAGTAATATTAGCCATGACTTATAAAGTTGCCTATACTCAGCCAGTTTTGACCTGCAAAGATAGTGATTTCTTATATTTAATCAAAAATAACAGCAATAATGGTAAAGCCACTTACTAAGTAACTTACTAAGTTACTTATGGAGACTGATTCTAAGCACCTTCCACACATAGACTGATTGGATCTTCACCATAAGCTGCAGTGGTATGGGTTCTATAATTATTCCCAGTCTACAGATGAGGTAATAGAGGACCAGAGAGGTTGAGTACCTTGCTCAAAGTCACATAGCCAAGAGGTGGCCAAACCCTGTTTGAATCCATCTACTCAGTCCAGGCCCTCAATGGAGATGTGGCTGAATGAGGAGGTTTCTTGGGGTAGATTTCTTAGGGGCTTCTAAGGGACCAATCTTGCAATCTGTGTTTTTTCCTCTCCAGGTCAGTCAGTACACGTTTGCCATGTGCAGTTACCGGGAGAAAAAAGCAGAACCTCAGGAACTTCTACAACTGGATGGCTACACTGTGGATTACACTGACCCCCAGCCAGGTACCCACCCATCCTCAAGGCTCTGAACCCACACGACTCTCCAGTTCCCCAAATCAGTAATTGTTGAACATTCACTTTGTGCCAAGCACTGAGTTACTGGCATTTCACAGATGACAATGACATCTACTGTCCCTGTCCTTAGAGACTATCCATTCTGGTAGATTCAATGCCACCCAGATCAAAGTCTTTGGTTTTACTCAAGGGATCCTCTGGTTTAACACCAAAACAAATCCATAGTACATTTTTTCTTTTATATACCTGTGTAAGGGGATAGCCAAATAATTACATCAAGTATGTATTCCACCTTAGTTAGAATGGTGGCAAATAAGTCTCTGAAAAAGAAGTCATGTAAGTAAACTGGAGACTCTGTGTATGTGTGTGTGTGTGTGTGTGTGTGTTTTGTTTTTACCCAGTGATATGTGGGCTTGGGAGATAAGATGTGCCTGAGACCAACTGTGGCAGTCCTGTACGTCGCTATTTGCTAATTCTAATTCAGAAGCTAATAAGGTTAGTTTATGGCAATTGAAAAGAAAGGCTTCCCTAAGTGTCTTTCTTCCCAAAGAAGATATCAGTCTATAAGCATAGGCATCCAAACTCCTAAGCCTTATGTAACTAATACTAGCATGTCTTATAAGTTCTTCATTGCTTAAGTTCTACATCCTGTCCCCTCACACCTCTCCCCCTACCCATTTCATCTTTTTTCCAGAAAAAAAAAAATGAATAGAAATCAGTCTCAAACAACCTTCAAAACTGGTGGGGGGGGGGTGTTGTTGTAAAATCATTTCAGCATATTAATGAACAAAAAGCACCAACAGCCCTCTCCCAGAGAAGTTTATTTTTATGCCAAATCTGCACAAGAGAAGCATTTCCAACCATACTGCATTATTTGGCCCAAAACCTTTTTTTCTGCTCCCATATTGCTCTTCCACATGCAACAAAATACACATAAAAGAAGAAAACAGAGCTTGAGAGAAGATAGGGTGTTAACCTGAAAAAGTATGGCAGGGATGGCCTTAGGTCCAGTCCACAGGAAAATAAGCATCCTCAGAATCCCAACACAGAGTGGCATGGACCAGCCCCACCCCCTTGGACTTCTGTTTGTAATTTGCATCCTGCCAGAGCATTATACAGAGCTGACCCATAAGCGTGAATTAGAAGCTCTGCCTGGAAATCCTCCCTAATGAATAGAACCTATGAGTTTGAAGCAAACATTTTCATGCAGCATTTCATGGAAAGGATGTAGCTCCTGCAATAAAAAAAAACATTCTATGATGGTTTGTGTTCCCATCGAAGAAATAGATTCAGTCTTTCCTAATACCTACATTTGCTGTGCAGATATTAAAGTGGGAGACTAAAGAGCTAATATGAGAAGAAGAAACAATGCCATCTTATGATAGAAACTCCTCTTAAGCCAGTTCACAAACTCATTTTCCTTTGCATGATTGTGTTTTGTCCTCACAGAAATCCCACAAAGTAGATAGGATCAGGGTTATGATCTCGTCTAGTAAATTAAGAAACTCAGATTCTGAGAGGTTAAAGGATTGCACGTGACTGCTCAGTGGCAGAGCTGGGATTATGGGTCTCATCCACGTCCCCTCTTTAGGATTTACACTAAAGCGGAGTTAAGTGTGCAGTTACAGCAAGGCTATAGTTGTTATTTTATTAAATGAAAGCAAATTTATCTTCCTAAGTTATGGTCGGGGAGAAAGTTTTCTATCTACATGCTAAAGGACTATCTGAACATTTATTTTTAAAGCATCTTTTCTTTCTTGATCCCAAGGGATATAATTTATAAATTCCTTTACTAAAGATGTAAGTGGAAAGTTAATTGATTATGCTTTTGAGAATAATAAGCAGCTTCTTCTCTCTTCCTTTCCATGTGCCAAGTCCTATTTATTTCCAAAGAAATGTTTGATGGAAAATGGAGTTTTAAATACTCCCAGTTGTTACAAGAAAACTCTAACTCAGAATTTCTTTGGGGTACTTGTTAAAAAGAGTAGTTCCTGGACCCACTCTTAACCTATGATCCAGAATGGGGGAAGGCAGAATACACATGTTTAAACAAACACTGTTGTTGTTGTTGTTGTTATGTGCCGTCGAGTCAAACCCGACTCATAGCGACCCCTCCTTGGGTTTCCGAGGTAGTATCACTACGGAAGTAGGATTGCCCAACCTTCCTTCCGAGGAGTGGCTGGTGGGTTTGAACCGCCAGCCGTCTGGTTAGCAGGCAAGTGTCTTAGCCACTATGCTACCAGAGCTCCTAAACAAACACTAGAGGAGTCTTAAACACGGACGTCTCAGTAGTGTACATTTTTACCATGTCTTCATGGATTTGAGGAGTCTCCTTAACTTCTAGAAAGGTTAGTGAACAAGTGGAGAAAAACTTCTGGCTCTATATTTTCCCCTTCTACTCTGGCAGAAATGTTTATGGGGTTGGTACTCTTGTAGCCTTTCTCTCTCTACCATAGGTGGGGGAGGGGTGTGACTGGGTCCCCTTTCCTTAGTACCAGCTTGGTGTTCAGATGGTGACCCAGGCACAAACATTTGTGCTAAATTAACTCTACCTGTTTGTTGTTGTTGTTAGGTGCCATTGAGTCAGCTCTGACTCATAGTGACCCTATATACAACAGAACGAAACACTGCCCGGTTCTGTACCAGCCTCACAATCCTTGCTATGTACCTAATCCCACCATTGCAGCTGCTGTGTCAATCCTTCTCCTTGAGGGCCTTTCCCTTTTTCATTGACCCTCCACTTTACCAAGCATGATATCTTCTTCAGGGAATGGTCCTTTCTGAAAACATGACCAAAGTAGATCAAACGAAGTCTGGCCATTCTTGCTTCCAAGGAACATTTGGGTGCACTTCTTCTGGGACAGACTTGTTAGTTCTTTTGGCAGTCCATTGTATTTTCTGTATTCTTTGTCAACACCACAATTCAAAAGCATCAACTCTTCTTCAGTCTTCCTTATTTATTATCCAGCTCTCTCATGCATATGAGGCGATTGAAAATACCATGGTTTGTGTTAGGCACACCTTAGTTTTCAAAGACACATCTTTGCTCTTCAGCACTTCAAAGAGGTCTTTGACAGCAGATTTGCCCAGTGCAGTACATCATCTGATGTTTAGGGTCATTGAAATGTTAATTTCAGGAATTGGTAAATAACTATATGTAACTTTTCCATACAGCCTACTCATTTTAAGCTTGAAATGAAGATGCTTTCCTTTATGTTTTCCTGGGTATGATTCATGGAATATGCCATAATCTCTCAATTCCTATATTATTAAATAATTAAGTCTTCAAATATAAAGATATTCATTCATAATAATTTGATGACATCATTTATCAAACAACTGAATTAGTCTTAGATGATTTTATGTAGACCTCTTTTAGCACTGTACATAGATTAATCCATGTGAGTTGTTGGAATACCAATCCCTCTCCCCTGGGAACTGGCCACCATTCCCTTACTTTGTCTGCCTCCATTCATTCCCAGGCATGGCCTCTTATTCTCGACAGGTCAGTGCCTGTGGAACTGCGCTCCATGTGCTCTGTGGAGTGCCCTTAGGCTTTCCGACAATGCCACACATCACATTTTGCAGATTTAGTCTCCAGAATGAGTGTCTTTTCTAAAACTCTGTTCTTGCAGCAAATATCAATGTTCAACTTTGCTTTCTCTTCCTCTCCCCTGGTTATTGAAAGATTGTATTGCTTTTTTCTCTCCTTCTTGTTCTCATGTTTCCTTGGTCTCTCATGCTTTCTGCAATCTCCTTTGCTCTCTGCTATTGCTTTGGCATTGCTTCAGCTACTTTGACTGTTTCTCTTTGCCCTTGCTCACACCGCTAGTAGGCCTCATTCTCTTGTTAATAAGCTCCATGGCTGTTACTGTGGACCAAGCCCTGTTCTTCATGTTTTACAGTAGTATAGCCCTGTGGTTGCACGCTCTGTCTCTCCGTGGGCTGGTTATCACATTTGCCATGGCTCAGTTTCCTCATCTATAAAATGGGGATAACAGTACTTTTCTCATAGGACTATTGGGAGGATTAAATAAGATTCTGGAAACAGTGTCACTTCTTTTTATCCCTGCCTCTGAATAATTGCACAGTGGCCAGATTTCTCACCCTCCTGAGGGAACCTCGTGAACTGACTTTCTGATAGTAGTTCGAGGAACATGGTATCCCCCTCCCAGCCTCAGGCCTTGGGAGCTAGGGAGGCAGCAGGGCAGGGAGAAATACCCTTTCAGAAATGTCTATCCTGGCATTCACTGACTGTGACAAAGTACCTTATCCTAAAGAGATGAGACTGTGGAAGGTCTATGGTCTATTAATAACTATTCTTCTTTTTTATTCCTTGGTGCTCACTCCTCAGGGCTTAAAAGTATCTCTCGGAGCTCTTTTTCCTTCCTCCCCTACCAGAATCTTTGTCCTTATCATGCCATCCATTAGTTTCATTAGATTTTCCAAGCTTTCTGACTGTACATCAGCAACCCAAATCACATATATATAAACACCCCACAAGAAATTAGGCAAAATATTCCTTCATAATTATAACCACCATAAAGAGTTTATTAACACTTCATGGATATTGTAACATTGGACCTTCTAAATAAAGAAGTATCTATTCAGTATCCCAATCCCTGAAAATCCTAAGTACAAAGCAATCAACACACATCCACTCTTGCACAGTACCACAACCCAAACCCACTGCCATCGAGTTGATTCCGACTCAGCAACCCCATAGGACACAGTAGAACTGCCCCATAGGGTTTCCAAGGCTGCAAATCTTTCTGGATGCAGACTGCCTCATCTTTGTTCCATGGAGCCACCCACAGAAATAATCACAAAAATAATTTATTGGGTTTGAACCCCCAATCTTTAAGTTCATAGTTGAGGGTTTTAACCACTGCACCATAAGAGCTCCTTCTTGCAGAACAGATAACTTAATTAACATTATCAGCACAATGGAGAACTTTTAATATCACCAGAAAGCTTTTTCCAATACCAAAAGTCAAACAGGTTAGTGATTAGGCCTTGTTGAAAATTTGGGAGTTGTTAGTCACTGAATTTCCCAGTGTGGCTCTTGGATGGTAACTGAAAGGTTGGTAGTTCAAACTCAAACTCACTCAGTGGCACCACCAAAGAAAAGTCCTGGCAATCAGGGTCTGTAAAGATTATAGCCTATGGAGCAGTTCTACTCTATAGCACATGGGGTCACCGTGAGTTGGAATTGATTCAACCGCATAAGACAGCAACACTCACTCTTTCTCTCAATTTTTTATAATTGGGGAATGAGGAGGGAACTGATAAAGATATGAATCAGTATTTCTTCCCAGAGAGTACCCAAACCCACTGCCATCAAGTAGATGCTGATTCATAGCAAACCTATAGGACAGAGTAGAACTGCCTCATAGGGTTTCCAAGGCTGTAAATCTTTACAGAAGCAGACTGCCACATCTTTCTCCCACAGAGTAGCTTGTGAGTTTGAACCACTGACCTTTTGGTTAGCCGCTGAATGCTTTAACCACTGCACTACCAGGCTGCTCAGAGAGTACTTAGTAACCCCAAAATATAAGCCATTTTTTATATCATTTTGGAAGTTGCAACACAGCTTCAACCTGAGTCCAAAGAGAGTCTTCCACCTCCTTTCCTCTAAATTTTAACCTTAAGAACTGTCTGTAAAGAAAACTTGGTCTACAGAATATGCATTCATTCAGCAAGTATTTGTTGAACAATTACTACGTGACATGCAAAGTTCTAGGTAGCAGGGATATAGCAATGAGCAAAACAGACAGAAACTCCTTGTCCTTATGGAGTAAAGTTGTTAGAAGATGATAAGAACTATATAGAAAAATTAAGTAAGATAAGAGAGTTGAAAAATGGGGGATAGGGGTTAGAGATGGTCTAAATAAGAGTGGCACAGGAGCAAAGACAGGAAGGAACTCAGGGTGTGAGTCATTCAGATATCTGGAGGACAAGTGTTCCTCCAGCATAGGGAAGAGCAAGTGAACAGCATAGGGAACAGCAAATGCAAAGACTGAGGTGAGAATGTACCTGGACTGTTGAAGGAATACCAGGTGTGATTACGGTGAAGTAAGTGTGTGTGCGTACATGAGATACAGAGAGAGAGAGAGAGAGAAAACAAACTAGAACTAGGAAAGGAGGTCATAGCTAGGGAAGGGCCAATTCATGTGGAGTCTTGTAGGTCATTGTAAGAACTAGGCTTTTCCTCTGAGTGAAATGTAGAACCACTGGAAGGTTTTGAGCAGAGCAGTGACATGATCTGACTCATGTGATGAAATGATTACTCTGGGCACCATGCTGAGAATTGACTGTAAGGAGCCATACTTGTGGAGGCAGACAGATCAGATAGGAGGCTATTACAGTAATGCAGGTGAGAAATAAATCACAGCTAGATTCTGGGTGGACTGGTGGTGGACGAAGTGGTTTAATTCTGGTAATGTCTTGAAGGTAGAACAATCAGTCAAGATTTCATGACACATTAGAAGTGAGTTGTAAGAGAAAACAAGAAGTAAAAAATGATCCCAAGGGCCTGTGCAACTAGAGGGATGGGTTCAGCTTTACTGAAATGAAAGGAGGTTTGGGAGAAACCAGGAGTTTAGTGTTGGATCAGATAAGCTTGAGATACCTAGTAGATTCCATGTAGAGAAATCAAAGCCATTAGATAAACACGTCTGAGATTTAATGAGTAAGTCCAGGCTGGGGATATAAATATAGGAACCCATCAGCATATTCACAGTGTTTAAAGACTGAATGACATCATTAAAGGAGAGGGTTAGATAAAGAAGAGAATAGGTCAAGAACAGAATCCTAGGAAACTCCAATCCTTAAAGGTCAGGAAGAGGAGGAAGAACAGTCACGGAAGTAGGAAGAAAATCTGGCTTCCTGGAAGCTAAGTGAAGAAAATGTTTCAAAGAGAAGGGCGCAAGTGTCAGATGGTGCTGATAGGTCAATGGACTGAATAAAATGAGAACTTTGAATTGATGCTTGGATTTAGTAATGTGGGGTCATTGGTGACCTTAATAAGAAATGTTCTAGTAGGCAGAAGCCTAATTTGAATGGCTTTAAGGCAGAAGAAGAGGAGATAAACGCTGGTTACATCTGCCTCATCTGGAAGCTTGTTAGAAATGCAGAGCCTCAGACCCCACCTAGCCCTACTGAATTAGAAGCAGCATTTTAACAAGATGCCTAGGTGATTTATGTGTTTATTAAAATTTGAGAAATACTGGTATAGATCCTCCTTTTATTGTAAAGAAAACAATAGGCCAGTAGCTAAAGGGAGAGGTGTGGTCAAGAGAGGCTTTTTCATTTTTTTTTTTTTTAATTCAGTTTATGTTTTTGAAGATGACAGAAATAATACCATGTATAAACCAGTAGCCATTGAGTTGACTCCAACTCATATGATCCCATATGTGTTAGAATAGAACTGTGTCCTTAGGGTTTTCAAAGACTGATTTCAGAAGTAGACCACCAGGCCTTTCTTCCAAGGTGCCTCTGAGTGGACTTGAAACTCCAACCTTTGGGTTATTAGTAAAGTGCAATAACAGTTTGCATCACCCCAGGACTCCCAGTCTGCATATAGGCAGATGTTTACCCAGCGAGCAGCATGAAGATAGGAACCTGCTTGATAGTTCTGTCCCTAACAACACAAAGAAAGAGATAAGAGTCAGGCTCAAAAGTACCCTTTAGCATCATATCCCCACTCTGTGGCCAAGTGAACATCAGACTTCTAATCCCAAGAGTTGGAGAAATTGCTCATCTTCTCCTCAGGCCAAAGGAAAAAAATCTCCTTTTTAAGGGCTGCCCTGCCTGGGACACTGCAGCTCAGATTAAACCAACCACACCATTTGCCGTCAAGTTGATTGCAACCATGGTAACACTTGTTGCCGAGTAGAACTGTGCTCCATAGGATTTTCATGGCTGTGACCTTTCATAGGTAGATTTTCTAGGCCTTTATTCCAAAGACACCTCTGGGTGAATTCTAACAGCCAACCTGATAGCCCAGCACTTAACTATTTGCACTACTCAGGGTCTCCTCAGCCTAGTTGTTGTTGTTGTTGTTATGTGCCGTCGAGTCAAACCCGACTCATAGAGACCCCTCCTTGGGTTTCTGAGGCAGTATCACTACAGAAGTAGATTGCCCAACCTTCCTTCCGAGGAATGGCTGGTGGGTTTGAACCGCCAGCCGTCTGGTTAGCAGGCAACTGTCTTAGCCACTATGCTACCAGAGCTCCCCCTCAGCCTAGTAGAAGTGGTTATTCCCTTTTATTCCAGGTCTGGAGGGTGGTCGTGCCTTCTTCAATGCAGTCAAAGAAGGAGACACCGTGATATTTGCAAGTGATGATGAGCAAGATCGCATCCTGTGGGTCCAAGCCATGTATCGGGCCACTGGGCAGTCACACAAACCTGTGCCTCCAACCCAAGTTCAGAAACTCAACGCCAAAGGAGGAAATGTCCCTCAGCTGGATGCCCCCATCTCTCAATTTTGTAAGTAAAAATGTCATTTCACAAATATAATGCTATAAAGTAAAGTAAATATTTCAAAATATAATTAGAAAATCTGGTTGCTTTTATATTAAGAATTTATGAAATCATGTTTGCTGAAAAACATATAGTGAATTCAGGGAGAAAGATGGGACAGACATGTTAGATGAAAGTAATTTTAAAGTGCAATACTTGACATATTTCCCCCTGAGGACTAAACAAAGGAAAACAGAACATCCTGTAGGTTTTGGATGTATTCTGGTCCCTTTGTTTTGCAGAAAATTTGGAATTCACAGCCCATGTATTTGTTTGAGTCCTTCAAATATAGTATATTATTTATGTCCTTGCCTCATTTCTTCCAATTAAAAGCAATTTTAAAATAGGGCTTGATTCAAAATAAATTTAAATCTGCAATTTAGAACCATTTAAAAATAAAAGATAGCATTATCACATGCAGCGGGGGGGGGGGGGGACATGGTACCTAAAATCCCATTCTGAGCTATGCAATAAGTAAAAATGCCAGGACCCCAAAATGAAACCATCTCCTTAAAGAGCCCCAGTTAATATTCCAGTTTCTTCTTCTCTTACCTTTGCATTTGTTTTACATTCCTTCTATTTCTTGCTACACAGGATGGTTTTATTTCCCAACACATATGATACACAGGATAAGGTGAAAGCCACCATACAGTTGGCCACATTTATTAAAACAAAGAAAATGGAAACATAAACAGGAAATAAAGTAATTCATTTCAATTATAAACATTAACCCTAATTAGATACTCTTGCCTTATGCTCCATATCAAATCAATTAGGCATAGCTCAGGGAAAAGTCATTTTAAGCAGTAATCATGGTGATCTTCTACTTTAGTGTGAAACCCACTCATTTAATTCATTGAGCACCTGTCTAGGTAACGGCACTATACTAATGAAGAAGAGGAACATCATCCCAACTCTTACCAGAGAGCATCCGTCCCCCTGCACCCTGATGGGGGAGTCTAGACAGTAAATAAGTCAATGAATGAACAAGATAATTTCAGACATCATAATAATGTCTAAATAGCATGAAGAATGTCCTGCAGTGGAGGCTGTGAGGGGAAAGGGAACATTGGACAGAGGACTGATAAAGGCTTCTCTGAGTTTAAATCCAAATGATATGGAATCAGTCCTGCAAAAATCTGAGGAAAGAGAATTGCAGCAAAAGAGAAAGCAAGTGCAAAGGCCTCAAAGCAGAAACTTGACCTTTAACAGAGTGCTTTCACATAGTCTGTCCTCCATAGTAAGCAAATATGAATATGAGTAGAGTAACTTTGAAACTGCTGCAATTAAATAGAGCTAAATTTGCTTTTGAATGAATTCCAACCCATATCCATTTCCATCGAACCTTGCAACAGTCTTGCTGATGGGGGAATATAACTCTTTTTGAATGACAAGTACTATCTGTCAGGTGCTCCCTGGAATTCCTATCCAATACTGAATGGAGTGCAACCAGAAAACCATGAAAGGGTAGGGAAGAGGTTAAGGTAGAATTTGGAGGAGAAGGGATGGCCCTCCTGTCCACAACCACCACCAAGTTCCTCATTCTCTACTTGTTTTCTCCAGCAGCTTGTGGCATTTAGATTGATTTAAAAGCAAAACAGAGTTTTGCTCAGTCATTAGTTGAGGTAATCAAAACCTAACCCTTTGCTGTCAAGTCAATTCTGAGTCATAGCAACCCTACAGGACAGAGTAGTATGCCCATGAAGTTTCCAGGGCTGCCCATCTTTATGGAAGAAGACTGCCGCATCTTTCTACTATGGAGAGGGTGGTGAGTTCAGACTGCTGACCTTCCGGTTAGCAGCCAAGCACTTAATCACCGAATCACCAGGGCTCCTTAGTTGAGGAAAAGCATATCCAATGATTGTTTAATTAACAAAACCCAAAAATCTGTGCAATAGAATCCCCTTTTTCACCTTGCCTGGAGTGCTCCTTTTAGTAAATTGGGAAACAGCGCATCTTATCATATTCCCTTGATAGAGTATTATCCCTGAATCAGAAAAATAATTCCTAATTATAATCATCATTCAAATCAACTTCATAAAACATGTATCTCAGGTGGCATTTGGAAAATACTGGTCTTATTTCCAAATGATCTCCATTTCACCTGGCATTCTATGTCTCTGTTCTGTCATCTACCTAGATTAAGAGAATAGCTTGTAATTGGCCCCCATTTTTCCTCACTAGAGTAGGGAAGTTGAAGGGAAGTACAGACCAGACACTGATTTTAAAAAGAAGACTAATGATAGAAGCTCTGACAAGGGGATATCTTTTCATGGAAATACTATAAGGCTCATGACTTAAGACTTTCCTCTTTGAATAGGATTCATTTTTCCAGGACATTAAAATGTTAGCCATTAGGCATCAACAGAAAAATTTAATGGCATATACACAAGCTTGATGTACGTTTCTAACCTAGTTGACACACGGAAACCAAAACCAAACCCACTGCCGCTGAGTTGATTCCAACTCATAGTGACTCCCATTGGGTTTCCAAGACTGTTAATCTTTATGGAAGTAGATTGCTTCCATCTTCCTCCCATGGAGAAGCTGGTGAGTTTGAACTGCCAACTTTCTGGATAGCAGCCAAATATCCACTATGCCACCAGAGCTCCTTACCCTAGTTGACATAGAGAACTTTTATTACGTGGGGTATTCCAAAGAAAAATCCTGAGGGTTAAGATTTGAAGAGTACATAATATTATCTCTAAAGAGCATGTGAGGCAGGCTGAGAGATGAGATGAGACAATACACACCTCTGGGATTTATCAATATCTGGTGGTAATTCCACCTTCTTTATAGTCTCCCTAAGTCACCAGCCAAGAACTGGAGTTCTCAAAGGTGATAAGACTCTACCACACCTACAAAATTCTTTAAAACAAGGTCACTACATTCAGCCATGCAGGTGTGCTCTGTAGTAAGCACCTTTCACATAGACAAAAATGTCAGTGGCATCCACTGAATTCAGTGGATAATATAGTATACAACCTGTGTAACTGTACATAGTAACATAGTAAACAGTAATCTCTACCTGAAGTTTCAACCCAATAGTTTTGAACCCAAGCGCCCCCTGGTTACTTTATTATCCCTGAGATGGGCCTTGACACTTCCAAATCCTATCTCTTCCAAGTTTGGCACTTAATAAAATCTACACTGAAGAGTTCCAGTAAGCAGGGCTTATGTTCCCATAATTTAGAAGCCAGCAGAGGAAGCCATTCAGGATTTAACCATCCCAACCTCTTGTAGCTGAGCATTTGCAATTAGGAGTATATATGAGAGAGATTAAAAGCTATGATATGTACCCTTGTCATGTTTTTTCACTTGTGATGTATGAGACATGATGAAGGCACATATCATAATTTTTAGTGGAGCCTGCCACAGAATGGCAATTAAGTCATAAATTAGTTCACAGTTGCCTTGAGTCTATTAAATTAAACCCAGCCATAATCTTAACTTATTCTTAGATGACTGACTCATCCTAGTTTGCCTGGGACTTTCCCAGTTTGCCTAGGGTCCTCCTGGTTGTAGCACTGAAAGTCCTGTGTCCCAGGAGACCTGCCCCTCAGTCCTGGGCCAACCTGGAAGGTTGGGCACCCTGCACTACAAATCAAGATTATAGAAAAGTGCTAAATAATCATAACATATTTATAAATAGCAAACTTTGGTCCTTCACTTACATTTGGTTTCTAGTCTGTCTTAGTTGCTTTGTTTTCTTAAGTCACATCACAAAATTAAGTCAATCCCAGATTCTTGGACTAACACAAAGATTAAAAACAATCAAGTATTGCATTTTAAAAAGGTTTCCTTGACTTCCAAAAGGTAAGGGTCACTGTTAAAGACTTAACGCTGGTGTACCTCACTAATTCCTGGTTTTGAATATTTGATTGAAGTATTTGCTATACTTGCTAGTGACTAATTTTTAAGAACTGTAATTTTCTACGGCTTAATTTAGTAATCACTTCACTAGTATTTACATGGCAAAGAGAAGCTGCATAGAAGTGGGAAAATGTTTTGGGAGAAAGAAAAATAAACACTCCAGTCTTGTCATGTCGCTGTCTGCTCAAGGTAAACTTGAGAATGGAACTTTTTAAGTTTGAGAAACTTAGGAGTCATTGTGAGTGTATTTGGGTCTTTCTAAATTCAGTTTAACAGACTTCTGGGTTTTTTTATTTTTTGCAATTTCAAAATGAAAAGACACGTCTGAGAAAGAGTGGAGTGGGGTATTTATATGGAATTGTACAAACTGAAAAAATAGATCCTGCTATTCATTAGTTTGTGTGTGACTCTACAAAGGCTTTGGGAGGGTTCCATCAATCTTTAAAACTTTGTTTGTTCTTCTGGGGGTTTTTGTTTGTTTGTTTCTTGTTGTTGATTTAAATTTTTTTCCTTTTTTGCTAAAATTTTTAAAAAATCAAGTCAGTACCTAGCTATACAACTTTTTAAAACGAATTCTTGCAGTTTTCCAATTTTTAGGGCCAATGTTGCTTACCTTAGAAACAGTGTCCAAACCTGCAGTTGAGTGTTGCCACACTTAATCATGTCAAGTGGCCTCTCACTGACACACCTTATCCTGACCATTCTGTATGAGTGGAACAGTAAAAATCAGTACCTCCATTTTCCTTTGGAGTGGGCCAAGGGGGAGGGGATATTTTAAGCTTTGGCATTTATCAATGATTATTTGATATATCATTTGCAACAACTCTCATTTTTAATGCCTGTTCTCAACTAACAACTGTTAATCATATCCTAGTTCCTCAAAGTTGGGTATTTTTGAAAATGGCTTAATGTTTGCTGCCATTTAAATAGTCTTCAACAGTTGGAGGAGGTTGGTTAGGGTTGGTTTGTGGGGGAGGGGTGATTTTTGTTTTTTGTTTTGTTTTGTTTCGTTTTGTTTTTCAGTTTTCTTGTTCAATCTTTGCTCGGACCCAAGAACTTTAGCTGCTAGGTTAGAACTCCTGTCTGCTTTCCTG